TAATTATGTTGCAAAACTTGTCTGGCATGGTTTCTCGCACCTACCGAAGATACAATTGAATGTAGAACTTTATATGGTCGTAAATAAAGAATATTTGTATTTGTGCTATATAGAAAAAAGGTAAAGCCCAGTGGTGTCTTGTTTAGGTAAGAACTAAGTGATCTTGTTTTGTAAAACGTTGTGATTACTCTGATTAGTTGGTATTGTAGACTCAAAAAATAAAATAATATTTTTGGATTATTACCTTAGAAACATAAACGCAACAAGAAAAGGGTAATATTTTAATCCCTCCGTCCCAAAAAGAAATGCCACAATTACTATTTCGGCATCTCGATAACTTTTGTTTGTTTACTCATTTTGGTTGACCATTTGATAAAATAAAATACTCTTGTCGCATCTTATTTTGTAGAATTTTTTATGTACTATTAAACAATTACTTTTTATTTTTTATTTCTTTACCAATTTATAAATAAAATGATTTTAAAGAGATGATATTTTGCACGTCCATCGAAACGTTGCAAACAATTTAGCACAGAGGGAGTATTAGAGTTATTGGCATGTTTTCAAGTGGATATAAACAAAAGGTTTCATAATTATTCACCGTTTCCAAGCACTTCCATAGCTTTATATCAGGAATGAGAATAACCAATCATTTGTACACTAAAGAGAAAGTTATCAGATTACCTCCTCACGTAAAAGGCCAGGTACTAATGCATATACTTCAAAGCAATCACTCTGTGCAAGCACATTTTGCCAAACATATAAAATTAGATGCAAGAAATAGCAAAACACAAGTGTGTGTGTGTGTGTGTGTGTGTGTGTGTATAGTGCAAATATGAGAATGGTGCATTTTCAGAGCTTTGTGATGCATTTTACACTTGTAGTAGTGCATTTTGGAAAGTTCAATTTGTTTACGAAATTGCCACCGTGACTTTTTCAAATTTTTTAGATTTTTTTATTTTTAATAGCCCTTAGATCTTAAATCTAATGGATCGTATGCTTTCTCATTTTTTTCATTGTGCATTATTCTCATTTGAACCAAAATCTGTATGTGTGTGTGTGTGCGTATAAAATGGTGCATAAAGAGCATACAGTTTTCTGAATATTAATCTTCACCCAGTCAGCAGGAGCCCCGATATCAGTGATCATCGAATCTGAGCTGCAATCATAAACTAGAGTTTACAAACCAAAGCCAAGTAGGTAGCTGACTACAGAAAATAATAAAAAACTGATTGTTTGGCACTTTAGCATAACTAAACCCTAACTAGAGAATTAGGTACTACATATGAAAAAATGAATTAAAATTTCACTTCAAATTGCTTTTTTCTTTACATGGAAACAACGCATTTAAGGTATTGTGTAGAGCATTTAGCTTTATATCAGCAACAAAGCATCAGAAATCAGTAAAATATATAGTTGTAGGAATCCTGCAAGACATAAGTCATGCAGTGTCTTGAACGAAATTATTCAATAGCAATCAAATTTAGTTCTAGAATTCTGTAACATTGTAAACATATCTATATATTAACATATAAGGTAGTTTGCATGATAATGACCAAATCATCTAGAGATCAGTGAATAGCAAATCCATAGAGATCTTAACTGTGTTTTTGGAATTTTCATGGGTGTGGCTTTGGCAACATCATCGACAGGAGACAGCTTTTTGCGCTTTAGCAAGCCTAATCGAGAAGAAATTACTAAGAAACAAATAAAACAAGTACTACGAAGGAAAACAGGAAATAAAATTTTAAATTTTCATTAAATATACCAAGAGTCTTGACATGTTTCTCTCGCTTGGGAGTTAAAACCGATGTCTTTTCCTACAAAGTTAAGAAAGAAGGGAAAATGATACAAGCTTTACCGAAAATTTACACAAGCATGTAGAAGAAAAAACTTGAGGATTTGAGTTTATAAACATCTCTTCAAATACCTTAACAATGGGATCTCCAATCTCACCATTCCCAAAAAGGCGTTGAGAATGCCAACCTTGCATAGCACGTGCTGCAGCATCTCTTCTTGCTCTACCAGACCCCAGTGCCTGATTACCCTGCAAAAGATGTGTCTTCTAGCTTGTATGGAATAGATTTAAGAAAAATCCTCATAGCTGGTCTAATGTCGCAACAATTACAAAGATCTTTTTCTTCCATCTTTTTAAATTTTACATTAAAAAATCAGAAACTACTTTCACACAATTAAAAAAATGAGGTATTAAAAACAAAGAGAGTTTGCCCCAACCCAAGTTGTAGTGTATCATCACATCTGTCAAATATGAGCCCCACTTAGCTTCTATGTTTCTCTGTCTAGTGTTTCTTAATAAATTTGCAGAGTAAAAATATACTCCCTCAGTCCCCAAATTAAATTACACTTTTCTTTTTTGTCCATCCCATACTTAAGTTCATACATCTCTCCTTTCCTTTTAAGGAAAAGAAAAAGTAGCTCATAGTATTTCTCTCTTCTAATTTCCAAACAAATTCCAAACACTCACTTTTTACTATTCAAAACTTTTCTTAGACTCATTAAGTCAATCCATGAATTAAATTTGGAGATGGATGGAGAATCAGCCAATAAATATATTATATAAGTGACATGACTCCGTTTACCTTTTTACAAGAAATTTGGTGAAACACTATAGCACAAAATATTGAAGTATATCCTTCACTCTTTTTTATTTTTGATTAAATATTCCAGTACATCCTATGGTTTCTTATCGTCCAGGTATCACATGATGAGGGCATATTGATCATCATAAAAACAGATGCTGAGCATAATATTAGTTCATACATTTCAACTTTCAAGTATTCTTGAGTCACTACAAAAGACATGCAAACGTGTTAGGAAAATGTGAAATTTTTTCTTCTTCACAATTTGATGGTTAACAGGTCATTACACTGCTACTCAATTTGTGATTTTCAACGGTTCTAAGGGACAAACTCTTTATACACACATTATTATGTACAGCCAAAAATCATTTTGATATTAAAACACCAAAGTGTCATCAATACAACAGAACCAACTGCCAAGTACTCGTGGAATATGTAATAAACTTTATAGACCTAAATAAATCGAGACATGAACCAACCTCTCCATTGATGGAAACTACTACCAAAATCTATTGACCAAATATATTTTACACATATTTCTTTTCTATTTATTTATAGAATTAACCTCTACATTTAAGAAAAATACAACCACCACAATATAATACCATATTACACCCTACATCCCAATGTATTTGTCCGCTTTTCGTTTTTAGGCCGTCCTAATGTATTTGTGCACTTTCCTTTTGTGGCAAAGTAATAGATGGGTAGTGACCAGTTTACCCCCAACTTAGCATAACTATGTCTCCTTCACCCCAAAATTGAATCGTACTTATCCAATCTGTAACAAACTATCTACGTTCAACACGGCAAGAGAACAGAGGAATGTCTTTAATCTAGGGATGAGGACTTTAGAACTCAGTCTCATATGCAGAACATAACCAAAGAAAAGAGTCTTTCTTCTTTAGTATCTTCTCTGAGCATGAACACGGATTGAAAGATTCACGACAACAAAGCCTTTGTAGGAAAGTTCAACAAAAGCAATTTCACACATGCGGCGGCTGGCAGTGCTCAATAACTACTCTTTGGCGTGGTGGTTGTCGGTTGACAACCGACAACAGCAGACCAGTTGTGTGATGGTGGGCAATAGGCATGGTGCTCGGTAGCAAATCAACGAGGTACTTGTTAATCATAAAGGTAAGGAATCGGAAGGGTTAGACAAAAGCAGATTGGCAGCACTGGTTAAACAAAAGGGTTGGATGGCAGTCCTCTACCTAAATCGGTGTATTGGTCATTTCTTCGTCCTATTTAATTCTCATTGGTCCAAAAGCCAAAATGAAAGTGGACATAACAATGGGATGAAGGGAGTATATGTTATTTCATGAGGACAACAAATAGGCATGTGGCAATACCTGGTTACCAGTACTAGAAGGCTCTGAGAAAGATGCATCAGAAAATGGAAGCTCACCACTGCGCATCTTGTGCTTTTCATATTCAAATAGTCCCTACAAAAACAAGCAAGTCATCAATTCTGAAAATGCAGAACACCACAAAAAAATCACAATAAACTACTAGAAAACATAATAAAATTGTTTTAAAAAAGGAAAATTATATAGAAGAATATATATTTAAAATGAATGAAACAAATGAACAATTGAGAGATCATAACGTGTGAACATATACAATCTTCTGACAGAAGAGTCACTCAAGCAAGATGAGTGGAATATTGACACTGAAAAAAAAACAAATGAACAATTGAGAGATCATAATGTGTGAACAGTATATTTCTGCGACTAGAACACAACCCAGTTGAATCCCACAAGATTGGGGTCTGGGGAGGGTTGTGTATGCAGACCTTACCCCTACTCGAAAGTAGAGAGGCTGTTTCCAAAGAGGGCTCAACGTCAAAAGTTACATTGCTTGACAAACTGCTACTTCATTAATTAAAGAAGCGCAGACAGTTTAGAGATCCATTTTGATTTATTCCATCACACCCCAAAGCCAAAAAATGGTGAATTTTTGGCTCCATCGGAGATGATGGAAAAATTTGTGCAACTAGAATGTAGGTAAAATATGTATGAGAGTAAAACTATATCCACAGAGGGTAATCGGTGTCGACTGATCAAAATTCTGGCTGCAGGTGGGGCCACATGCCGGAATGCGAAACAGAAGGGGCAAAAGACTGGAGCATGACGGATGCAGCGTTCATGGGATTCAGCCTGTGAGGGCGGTTAAGGTTGCAACTTGCAAGGAGCCGAGGATGCTCTGGTGGTGTTAGTGTCAGGTGGAATGGAAACATATGATCAGAAAGCTTAGGATACACACTTGCACAGGTTCAAAATATCTTATTTTTCTGGAAGAGAGATTTTTTGGCAGAAAAAAAAATGATCTCCCAACAGCAGTTTCTGATGTCATGTAAGCTATGAGATGCTGAATACTTATTGTTTTTGACAATACAATGAAGAAATGCACAGGCATTTATGTTGCTTAAGTCTTCTTATATAAGTCCCTATATTTCAAAAACCTTCCTATACAACAATACTAACTTGTTTCCAGCTAAATTAACTTTACAGCAGGTTAAATACCTCTAGTTTTACAGCTATTATATAAATCTAACGAGGCTAAAAGGAACATATTAAAATAATATAGAAAGGGACTGCAGTATATTTCAATGAGAACTTGAAACCAGTGAACCACATAGTAATCAAATTGACCATAACCTTTTCATAGAAAGACCGGAATGTCCAAGAGACAGTAGTGCAGGTCCTGCAAAATTAAAAAAAATGAATGTATAATGAACTGAAAAAGATATAATGAGGGATTATGAACAGTACAATTCTTTATATTGTGCTCAGTTTGTTCCTTAGTCCTTACCATCAAAAACTAGGTGAACTGGAGCTCAATTAAATAATGCTAGTCAATCAAGTCTAGATAATTTTGATGGAAGGGTGAGATTGCGATCCATCCAGAAATGAAGGAAAAGCCTATTGCCAAAGTCTGAGGCCACAGTGAAACAGGGGTGGCAAAAGAATTTGTTTATCTACCATCCATCCAAAGATAAATTCGTATTCGTCCATACTAAAAATAAAATGGAGGAACCTGATTAATAAGTAGGTGGTGGGTATGAAGTGGGTACATGATACCCCAAATAGACTGCCGCCTGGCCCCATTGACATTCCCAAATCCACCAATTATAATTTGAGCAAAAATTTATCCAATCCCCCTATTGACACCCTAAAAGTGAAATAGAGGACAATCAATAACATATTCTCAATCGATCAAGAAAGAATCGGGTGAGCTTAGAGTCCCACACTCCACCTAGTTGAAAGAAAAACAGTGCGCCTCAGAAGATAAAGTTGCCACCCAAACAATGGACTAGCAATATTGGGATATCTGGAACAGACCCCCAAAACTCCACATGTGATTGCAAACGAACAATCCTGCTCGTGGATTACAAAATTTCACTACCTTATTCTTGGACTTTGGGGGTTATGATCGTTCCTAATGGAGGATCGAGAAAAAAAATCCCTTTGAAAACCTCCACAATTCAAATCAGAGCAAAACCAGAATATACCAGTCAGGGGCGGAAGGAAGAGAATGTGGGACCCGGCCACCAAATCCTTTTATGAATATTGTTTCAATAGGTTCTTATCATAGTTTGTAAGGCGTCGCCTAGGCGATAAGGCGCTATCCCTTGGACGCCTAGTCTGCTCGTCTCACCCAGAAAACCTCAAGGCGTTCAGGCGCTCGCCTAGGCATCACCTTACGTCGCCGTATGTGGCCTTACTCTCGCCTTGACACTTTGGGTTCCTTTAAAATTTTGAAAACCCAATTTCTCTTAGTGCAGCCCAATTTTTTTATTGCAGCTGAATTATTTTGAAAGCCTAATTTAAAATGTTTAAAAAGATTTGACTTAAACTTGTGACCGATATATATCTCGTGTTAACATATATATATATATATATATATATATATATATATATATATATATATATATATATATATATATATATATATATATATATATATATATATATATATATATATATATATATATATATATATATATATATATATATATATATATATATGCACATACATATATATAGGTCTCCTAGGCGATATGTAGGTACATTGGTAAGGACGAAGTGATTATGTAGAGGTACTATAGGTACTTTTAATATAACTATAAATTAAATGTGCTTACCTTTTAAGTTTTAATGCAAACAATAAAAAGCTTTTTCCAATGATAATAACCATTTAATCTTAAATCTATCAATTGAAATTTAGTCCCAATGGCGTGTACTTCTTTGTTGTACCTATTGAGACCACCACTGCAGATATATCTACACACACAATCCCACCGTTCCCCAAACAAGTTCCTGGACTGACTACCACACAAATTTATGCAGAATCATTTTTGGTGTTTACTTTCCCATAATGCCCATAAAAATAGATTGGCTTTTTTGAGTAGAGATGGAGTTGATTTGATGAGAAGAGTATAGTTGGCATTTCAAACATAAGGTTCTTCCATTGAAGAAAGTGAGAACTCTCTTTTGAGAGAATAAATGTTCTATGTTAATTCAGGGTTTAGGTTTATAGATCATGTAAAACACAAGTAATGACATAGTCTCATGTTTTCAGGTCCAATGAAAACAATATTTACTTAATTGAATAAATAAGAAATACAAATACACCATACTTTGGAGGCCTAAATAATTCTCCTACTTGCCGCCATAGCTTGCATGATGTCACCTGAACAAACAGAAAGAGAGTGCATCTAATCAATTCCATTTTTCTAAAATTTCATTGACTGTAACTTGCATTTTAGGTTTTGAGGGTACTATTTGAATGAGCTGCAAATAAGTACAGAGAAATAAACATGAAACCCATGGCAGTGTATAATGATAAAATCAAGGACAGTTTTAGATGATTTCATTTTATCCAGGCAGTATCCACACACATAGTAGTCAAGATCGCGATCTGACTCGTACGATCTTACGATTATGGAGATCGCCAGCAAGTAAACGATCCAAATCGCCATCAGAATCGCGAAAATCCATAGGGTCGCAAAGATCGTCGATCCGGATCGTGCAATCGCATAATCGCAGGAGATCGACGATTTTGAGAAGCCCAATTTTGTTGCTTTGAATTTTGTCAGAAATTTGAATCGGTTTGCCGTTTTGATTTCGCAGCGTCGATTCCAATTGCAACCGCGACTTCCAATTCCAGTTGCGATTATATATACGCTCCTTCTCCAACAGATATACCCGACCCAAATAATCACCAGTTCAAGCGAGTCGCGACTTCCAAATACTCACCAGTTCTTTCTGCTTCTAGCCTTTGTTGACCCTTAGATGTTATGTATTATTAAAATTTAATTAAAACACACACACACAAACACACACATATATATGTACATATATATATATGTGTGTGTGTGTGTGTGTACATATATGTGTGTGTTTTTATGTGTGTGTGTGTATATATATATATATCTTTGTGTGTGTGTGTGTGTGTGTGTGTGTGTGTGTGTATCGTAGGATCTTACGATCCGAGTCACGATCTTACGATGTTACGATCTTCATATCGCTTATCGATCTTACGTAGAATCTAGAGTTTGACTACCATGTCCACACATATCTGATATTTTATGGTTTCTTGTTTTAACTTTTAAGAGTTAAATGAATAAAAGATCTAATTTTCTAATCACAAGGGATAGCAGGTTATTAAGCTAACAAAGCATGAAATAAACCTGTTCGTGGCCACCAAGTCTGATCACTGCTCTCCATAGCCTTGTTAACATGATGAAGAAATATCAGTTCAAATGTAAGAAACTTGTCCGAAGTACAGAACAAAATTAAAATAGGAGAGTCACTAACTTGAGGTAATTCAATGGCTCTCCGTAAAACCTTAAGTGCTTGAATTCCAAGTTTTTTTCCTTATGGAAAGCTTCCAGTTCTTTGATGAATGCCGCTTGCTCTTCCTCTGTCCCAGACTCATCTACTCCAACAGCATTTGCATCCAACAGGAATGACTTAGGAGGATGGTTTGCATTGAAATCATGGTGAACATCCAACTCTGAATTCAACGATATTGTATCCACCTGACTAATTTGTAGCACCTCTTTTCCAGTTAGTGCATCAGCAAGTCCCTTGTTTGCTTCTTCAGTTAGCAACTGCTTTCTTTTTCTGGTTCCTAATGACGGAACAATATTTTTTTCACTTTTAATTTTTTCTCTGTTGCCATCTACAGTAGATAACTCCTCTGAAACCAGCATATCCTTAGGTAATTCAACAATCATAGACTGAACCTTGTTTCCATTACCGGCAGACAATTCCATTTCAGACACTGAGTTCTTCAAATTTTTAGATGTTTCAACCTTTCCACTTACTTGTGAGGAACTGTCTTTTGCAATGTAGTCAGGTCCTTCACAGTGATCAAAATCAGAATAGACACTTTCAGGTTTCTCTCTTTTAGTACAAGTGTATGCATGCACAGATGACGGGGTTGTTCTGTTGACAGAATCATTAGCATCTGAGTGAGATAAGGCCTTTCTGTCTACTTCAACATTGTCTTGACCAAGTCCCTGCATTGCTTCATCACTATGAATCAAGGCTTTGGGGTTACCAGTATAAGCATCAGATGACGGGGTTGTTCTGTTGACAGAATCATTAGCATCTGACTGAGATAAGGCCTTGCTGTCTACTTCAACATTGTCTTGACCAAGTCCCTGCATTGCTTCATCACTATGAATCAAGGCTTTGGGGTTACCAGTATAAGCATCAGCTGCACCTTGTGCAATTTTTTGGTTATCATCTGTCTTACAGCCCTTACTGTCTACCATCATTATTCTCAAACACCAAGAACAACTCTTTGTCCAATTTGTATCACCTGTTTCTCTTTCTTTTTTCTTTTTTTTAGTGGGGAGGGGCTTAGTCACCTGTAATAAATGCAAAAAAAAATCAAAGGTTCATAACGTGAAAATGTTGCCATCAAACAGAATTAACCAAGATTTCTTTTTCTATTTAGATAAACCATTAAAGTGACAAAACTTTTATTTCCCAACAAACCAAATTTATTTCAATTAATGCCATTGATTAAACCCAATGAACTAACAGGGTCTAATATAACAGGTTTATGAAAAAATAACCAAGTGACAGTTTTTTTGTAATTTGAAAAAACCAAGTGACAGTTATAATGAACCCCAAAAAAACCTGTTGCCTAACAAGCTGTTGCCCTAGAACCATCTATAATGCTATTACAATTGCAGTACATACATGAATTGAATGCAACTTTAGAAATACTGCAGCAACAAGAGGTGTGGTTAAACAGTAGCCATGGGGGAATGATGTGGTGAATTTTTGTCAGCCTCCAAAGAAAATTTATGAAATCCACCCACCCTAGCCCCGACACGATGTTTATACGGCTTAACTTAGAACATCAGCCTTAGCCCGTCAATGCTAAAGATGACAAGTTAGAATCCTCAACTGATTAGTCCTAATAATAATACTCTGTAGTAACAATCCCAATGCAACTGCAACATCAATACATGACTTCATCTATAAAATTTGCCACATTTGAAAGTGAAGTAAAATACAATTCAATCTTACAACTATCTTATTAAAGAAAGAGGCATTACCTTATAATACACCACCTTGAAGCATCAATAACAAAGTGGGCTACTTTGCATTTAATGATGAATCTAAAAGAAAAAAATCACAAAAAAGTCTAATTAAAATTTGGGTTTATATTGCATATGGTGTAAGTCTATTTATAAATTTAAAACAAAAGGTAACTACCATTGTTAATACTTTCAAAAGCAGTCAACTCCAATAAATTGATTGGTTGTGATGAGTTAAGTACTCTGTCTTAATAGAATACAAGACTGAGAGATTCTATGGATTAGGAAACTCCTAATGGGATCGAGAACATACCCCCCACAACTAAAAACAGACAATAGAAGAAACTAGAATAGACAACAGCAAACTGCTAAACCTAATTTTCAAGTCACAGATAGCTATTCATCACAGTTTCTCATCAGCAGGAGTTCCCTAACATGGATGAAATGAGAAAGAAAAAAAAGCTACTTATATTCTTTTACTCTATTATAGATTTGCAGATCAACAGCAAATTATTCCATACATCATGTTGTACCTGATTTTCTTGTAGATCCAAGGCGCATTATGTACATGCACTAATTTTATGATCTACATGCTCTGAGTATCTACAAAAAACAAATGTGCGCCTTAAGGTAATTTCATTTTTCAAGATTCAATGTTTATAGTTTTTCACATGCTTCAGTGTTATTAGAAATAAATAGAAATAACTTAAAAAAATGAAATGAACATTGTGTAATTATTAAATGTGCATACATCCATTTCATAATGTTCCAGATTTAATTAAGCATGCTTAAAATAAATGTGCAAAATGAATGAACATTGCATGACTTGCAAATGACAGTAAAAAACCATACATCCGGAGACATCGACTATGGTATAGACTCGAAGGGAAGCAATCCAGAAAACTAAGAACTACATCCTAATCCCTTACATTTCTTTAATCTTTATTTTTTGACAAGCAATTGTCTGGGCAATTCTTTACCAGATGAGCAGATAACAATCAACATAGGGAAAAATTATACAACAGATTAAGCGCTTCTTTAGTGAGAAAGCTCGTTTACTTGAAAAAATGACAGGTTACAAGGAGCCGAAATCATAGGTCGAATCGAGAAAGCTCACCGCTAACCAAAACAGCAGTTCTCGGATTGAATCTTCAAGTACAACTCCGGCGACTGGGCGAAGACGGAGAGAGAGGAACTGTGAAAGACTGGACCCCAGCCGGCAGGCTAGCTCGTGAGTCGTGGGTGGGTAATGTCAAATTTAATTTTTTTTTGAAGTGTAAAATCAATATCAACTTTGTTTCAGTCTCTTAATGGTTCAGATGTCTGAATGGTTCAGCACTTAATGGTTCAGACTGTTTGTTTCGTAAGCAGATGTCTGAATGGTTCAGACATTTGCCTCTGAATGGTTAAGTATTATATAGAGTCTGAATGGTTAAGACCTCTTATCTGAATTGATCAGACATTTGCCTCTGAATAGTTAAGCAATATACTAACTCTTAATGGTTCAGACCTCTTACTGGTTTAGCACTTACCTATTCAGAAGTTGCCAAACAGCCTCTAAGTCATAAAAATTACTAAAAATTTTTAAAAAATAAATGAAACTCATAACCCGTTGGGTCAATCCGAACCCAATGACACTGGGTCATGAACATGTAGTTATCAAACCGAACTCAAACTTATCCAAACTCGAAATAACCCAAACCCAAAGTGACCGAACCCGAACATGATCTGACCTACCGATTTACCAGGTCTAATTGTGAAGGTCCATCAAGAAAAAATTGAAAAGATGAGGTATACGTTGAAATAAGAAAGAGAGAATGTGATAGTGATTAAAAATGTAAGAAAGAGAAAATGTAATAGTGATTAAAAATGTAAGAAATGATTTAAAAAGTAAGAAAGAGTTTGTAAAAATAATTAAAAAGATATAAAAAATTGAAAAGAAAAACCAATTGTATCAAATATAGTAAGACTAATGTAATGCCCCACGCCCAATCCGCCGTGGTCCCGTGTGGCATCGCCACGTCGGTGGCCCTCTCACGTGAACACCCCCACCCCCTCGTGACCACGTCACGTGAGACTTGTCGTGGTCACGATCAGGGTCGACTAACCGTTACTATTTTTTATTCAATGCCCCAACACTCCATTTATTAGAACCCAAAAGGTTAGATTCTATTAAAATCCAAAGTGCAAATTTTGAATTCTTTTTACACATTAAATACATGTTTATAAAAGAAATTGACAAAATTGAGTTTTTAGCCTTTAAATATTTTTCTATACTTAAAATGATTAAAATACATATAAAGTGGAATTATGGATGGACTGTATGGACACTAAATTAAATTTGATGAAAATTAGATCCAAAATATCGGGCTAAGCCCAAAAAGCCCAATCGTTTATGCTGGCCTGGTCGCATCTTAATTAACCAGACGACTACCCTTTTCCCGTCTCATTATTCCGAATCCTCAACCCACAAACGCGATAGTTCTATAGAGAGAGAGAGAGAGAGAGAGAGAGCTATGGTACGCCAGTGACATTCCTTGTCATCGCCGGCGTTCTCTGGCGAGTGAGAGCGAGTGAAAGTGAGATTCAGAGAGAGCTCGATGTGTGCTTCTTTCTGATCCCAAACTCACCATCATCGCGGGTCTACTCCAAACCTCAGTGGAATATGTTATGATCCAAAAACCAGCATAGTAGTTAGTCATTATTTTAATAAAAATAAATATAATATTTTATTATATTATATTTGTAAAGTTGATCTTTTTATTTAAAAATTTGATTTTTGGGTAGACCTCATAAAATGGTTATCAATGATATAAAGTTTGTTAAGTTTGGACATACTTGTAAAGCGTGGTGAGTAAAATAGACGTTACCGTTCAATAAATAAATATAAATATTTTATAATAAAATAATAAAAATATTGAATTACTTTAATCCCATCTCTACCCATCGTGTCTACCATGAAACCCAACCCCCCTTTATATAGGTATACTAGTGTTAACCCCGTGCTTCACACGGGCTCATATATTCTAAATTTTTGAGATTCTATAAATATAATTTTAGTTGTTTTAGTTTTTTTAATACTGACAAAATATGTTTGAAACTGGTGGAATATATATATTGGTACGTTAATTTAAAAACAAACAAATTCTACAAAATTAATGGTCATTGCATTAAGTACTAATAAAAATAGTTTTAATTAATAAAATATTTTATTAAAAAGTGGATTGATTACATAATAATACATCATTAGAGAATGTATATGTGTCATAATGTCATTTCTCAGTTGTCACACTTCAATTAAACCAATTTAATTTTATTTACTTTATTAAAAAATATATGTAGCAATAAAATAAATAATGTTATAAGATAAAATTTTTGAAACAAAGTGTAGTATTTAATTAATAAATATCCATATGTGATTAAATTTATATAATCATTTTTTGAAAGGTAATAAACTAAAATAAGTTGTGGATAATATAAAAATAATATATATATATATATACATATATACATATACATATAGATATACATACATATATATATATGTATGTATGTATGTATGTATGTATGTATGTATGTATGTATGTGTGTATGTATGTATGTATGTATGTATGTATGTATGTATATATGTAAGTATATATATATATATATATATATATATATATATATATATATATATATATATATATATATATATGGGGGCCGGTTCCCGTGAGAATGCACCTTGTGGAGAGAAATGAGAATAAAATCTAACTGTTGGATCTGATGCATCGTGCGACTCAGATTGCATCATGCGCTCAGATTTTGAGATAGTGCATTTTCAAAGGATTTTGGTGCATTTCGACAGAATGCATTTTCAAACCATTTTAGTGCACCTAATTTTGATGCAATCCTGACCCTTAGATCTCACAATCTAAAGCACCAGATTCATTCTCATTTCTCTTCTAAGATCGCATTCTCACCAGAACACACACACACACACACACATATATATATGACGAAAAATTGTTTTTATTAATGAAATCTGAAAGACGGTACATGCTCATTTTTCAGAGCAGCAATTACATTTGGGGTACAGGAAGTAAGGGTACAATATTCAATAAATTTGGCATCCTGTGTTTTATCCTCTTTGGCTAGGAGATCTGCAGCCTGGTTGCCTTCCCGTAGAATGTGTGAAGTGCCAATCTGATTATCTTCAATGATTTTACGTAAGACATCGATTCCAAACGGGGATTCATCGGGAGTAGAGTATGTGCTTAAGTGCCTGATGATGTCTAGGGCATCTGTCTCATAGATAAGTCTGGAGTGTACCTTGAGTGCCCAGCTGATCGCCTCGATTCCAGCCGCAACTTCTGCTTGAAAGGGAGTGCGTGATGCCAGACTAAAAGTAGCTGCCCTAACAAATCTTCCATTCTCATCCCGCAATATGGCTGCCCCTCGTTGGTTAGATATAGTGAATGATGCATCCACATTAAGCTTGAGCCTGCCCGTTGGAGGAGCCATCCATTTGATTATGCGCACCTGCTTTTCTTTCGTAAACTGTGGGATAATTTTCATGGTAAACAGCCATGCATCATGAGTCCGAATTTTGTTTGGTGTTTTGACCAGTAGCCATTGCCGAATGTAGGTGGAGATCTTGTCAATCAGCTTATATGCATTTACTCGGTGTATCTCACCATGAATGATATCATTAAGCTCTTTCCAAATATGCCAGCATATGATAGAAGGAATATGTTTTCTAA